CTGTCTTTCCCCAGCCTTAATGGAGGATGGATGCTCTTGGGCTCTTGAGATCACACGAACATTTTGAATAATTTAAGATCTCGAGTTCAGGATCACCTGCCAGCCCAATAGGATCTTTATCCTGACCTATAGTAGAATTCTTATTCATCGGAAATTCCAATCCCTTCCCGTCCCTTTGGAGACTTCTTCCCTTTCGTCTTGGCTACTTCAAAGTTCCACCAAACCCTTCCCCCCTTACGTCGAGCAGGTGGTGGTCAGGAAAAGAAAAGAAAAGAAAAGAAAAAAAAGAACACCATCCACAAACGGTTACAGGAGGGGAACTAAGCAAAAAAAAACCAAGTACAAAAAAAAAAAAAAAAAAAAAAAAAAAAAAAAAAAAAAAAAAAAAAAAAAAAAAAAAGGGAAAGAAAGAGAGAGTGCAATGGGATAGAAACGGGTTTGTCTGAATGCGGCCCATTCCTTTCTGTCCGTCCGTCTGGGTCTGGCACTGCTTCTTCTTCCAGTACCTCCATTAAGTTGTCTTTCTTGACTCCGTCCCGCGGTGGAAATTAGATCCTTTCGTTGCGAGGTCGTTTTGCGCTGCTCTCCACAAAAAGGGCCTGGACAATGCGTTCTTGACGGAATCTAACATCGTGGTCCCTCAGTTACACTCACCAGCTTCTCTGTCTACTCTTCTTTTCTCTTTCCTTCCTTCCTTTTTCCTTCCTGCCTGCCCGCCTACATTCATCACATCCTTCTTGAAACTCCCTCCCCTCCTTCTCCCCGCCCCCCTTTCTGCGTTCTATTTTTTTCTCTGGGAAGAAACAGAATTCTCCTTAGCTCTTCAAACCCCCCCCCGGCTCCCCCCTCTTTACCCCCTCATTGTACGGGGAAGTCTCCAAGTGAAGCCGTGATTGTATCCCTGTGAAACATGTCTGCAACATTTAGGGGGTGGAGACACGCGAACACTCATTATTTGACCCAAATCCTTCTCCCTTGTGTCGACTGGATCGACCAGTAGACCTTCCTGCCTCCCTTGTGAAATCCTGTCCTCTTTTCTCAGTGACTGCTGTCAACACGTTGCTGCAACTTGATCACTTCCGGAACCTTAGTGACTGACCCAGCTGCCATCAACAACCCGCAAGCTGCCTGATATCATCGTCATTGCGGCAGTTGGAGCTAAAGCAGCCAAGTGACTTTTGTTCGGCCTTACAGGGAAAAGAAAAGAGAGCTAAAAGATTTATCGCAATTAAAACCTGTTTCCAAACGCGCGCCATCGGCTACTTGACGCAATTGAGGGTCTTACGCTCTGCGATTTCTCTGTGACCGTGTGACGCCAAAGAGCATGTGCCTGGGCAGCAATTGAGATACTACTACCAGTATATCTACACTTCATAGATCAGCAGCGCAGAGCGGATTTCTTTCCCTTTTCCCCACACTTCAATCAACTACCTCAACGACTTTTGGCTCTTTCCATTTTCTCTGCCTACAATCGCAGTGGGGCTCTTTCCCAGCCATGGCCATGGAGACACCCGACATGATGTCTGCTGGCCAGCATGCAGCCCCCATGAAATTTTCGCGATACCGAAGTGTACGAAAGGCGGCGACCAAACAGCCACCAGCATTACAACCACCGCCAACTGGAACGTCCAAACTCAACCCCCCGCCACCTCCACTTGCTCACCCGCCAATCGCTGCACTTCCGGCCTCGGTGTCGCATGACCATGCCGCCAGCGCCGATGCCGTCGCCGCAAACAATAATAGCAGCACTGCTATTCAAAGAAGCATGTCGCGGTATCGTCGCAGAGTCCCGCGGCCTACGCAGCAGCCCTCGGAGGCTATATCACAGCCTCCTTTGCCCATTTCTGCACCCGCCTATAAATCACAAGTAGCAAGCAATGACACCTCAGTCTCGCAACCTCCGCAGGATCGACCTGAGGAAACAGAGATGGCTCGTATTCGACAAAAGTTGGCCCTAAGACTGGCCACCCGAGAAAAACGGGTCCCCGATGACAGCGAAGACGAAGATTCTGAACGCGACAGACATCGACAGAATGCAATGGACCGTCTGACCGGAGGTGAGGATGCACCGACTTCCAACCCCTTTGAGACACCCACACGCGACAAGCCGGCCAAGGAGGTGCGTGAAAAACGCGCAAACGGAGGAAAGGCCGCGAGTCGCCGTACAAGCCGTGAACCCAAGCGACGGTCCCTCAACATTGCGACAGCCAAGGCTACTCAGGTCAAAAGTTCCAAGGGCGATTCTTCTGCGAGTAGTCCGACCGAAGCTAGTCCTGTCGCTCAATTCCCAGATGCTCCTGTATCCGCCGTGAATGCACGGGAGCGTCGCGTTTTGGTCCAGTATAGAAAAACATCGATGAAAGTCTGCGTTAATCCCTCAACATCCGCGCAAGATATCCTCGCTACTGGCATGAATTACATGGCCAATGGGGAGGACCCTGGGAAGTTCATCTTGATGGAATCTTTCGCCGATTTGGGACTAGAGCGGCCGTTGCGACGATACGAATGCGTACGCGATGTGATGAACTCTTGGGCCCACGATGAGCAGAACTCATTGATCATTGTTCCTGCAGCCAGTCTTGATGCCCTTGCTCTGCTCGACGCCCAGAGCGTGTCACTTGGCCAGCCGGCGGAGACGACATTCTACTTGTATTACTCTCAACGGCCCCGCAAATGGGACAAGCGATTTGTAACTCTACGGTCAGATGGACAAATTACCATATCAAAGAAGGAAGGCCAGGAGCAAACCAACGTGTGCCACCTCTCCGACTTCGATATATATTCGCCAACAGCGAGCTCTTTGGCAAACAATGTCAAACCACCAAAGAAGTTTTGTCAAGCCATCAAGAGCCAGCAAAAATCGACAATGTTTCTAACGACCGAGAACTTCGTCCACTACTTCTCCACTAACGACAGAGACATGGCCGATAACTGGCAGAAGGCAGTTCAGACCTGGCGCAGCTGGTACCTGGTCACCATGCTAGGAGCAGGCAAGCCGTCGGAGACGGACAATGCCACATCCTCTGATGAATCGCTAGCAGCTGGGAAGCGGTTTCAGAAGCCTTTATTGAACCCTTTTGAAGAAGCCAGCAATGAGGTCAAGGCGTCTGCACTGCCTCTGGCAGAGCGCACGCAGCCTACAAAGGCCAAAGAATTGTTCTCCCATAAGAAAAGCATCCGCGAGCGTGGACCTCCTCCGACATCATTCCCCAAACTTTTGACTGGGGAAGCTGATCTTGCCGCAGAGTCTTCCGATGAAGCTACTTTCTCAGCCAGTGGTCTTTTAGGGCGGACCTACACCATGCGCCAACGGGCCATGAAAGAGCGTGAAGAGCAAGAAAAGCGTGACAATGAGGACCGCCTCCGTCAGGGCCTCGTGGGCACTATGGGCACCCGCCGTGTCAATACTGGTCCAAATAGCCGGTCCAACACCATGACGTCGACTCACGCGCCAGACTTCAGCGCTGTGAAACGGTCCCAGTCCGTCAAGGCAAAGCCCCTGGTGGATTTGACCCCGGTGTATAGCGAACCCCCACAGCATATCCGCAAGGGAAGGGGGGTTACTGTTGACCCGGGCGTCCCCTTGATCGACGCAGCGACTGGCCCTGAAGTCCCAGGAGGCATTCAGATACCGTCGGCTACTACCTGGCGCCGGCCCCCAGTGCCCGCTGAACCGATGTCCGCCGTTGAACCCAGAACTCGTAAACGGTCAAACACCGCGCGGAGTATCAATGGTCAACAACGTTACCACCACACCGCTCCTACCACCCCGATCTCCCCGGTGGATCTCGTTTCCGGCCGTGACGGCCCCTTCATACCCCATAGCCTACTGGCTCGCGCTCAACCGGCGCCCGCACCAGGCCCTCCCGTCGGCCATGGCGTGGCAACCGGAGATCGCAATGCCACCAAACCGATGCTGGATATGTCCCCCGAAAATCCGTTCGCCGAGGGAAGCTTGCTTCGGGGCTTGTAACGGCAACACATCCCACTATCCCACTACCACCCAAATTACGATTTCAACGGCACTTGGGAATCACTTAGCAACGGCGTTAATACCCTTTCGGCTGAGACTTTGTGTTATCACGGCGATTTAGAACGGCATGGCTTGAACCTTGTGCCTTTTTATTGCCTCGTTCCAATATACCTTTTGGATTATAGTCTGAATCCGCGGCATGGGTTGTACTTCTAGTTATATTTGATCTTTAATTGACAATGCTGGTCTGGTGATCAGTGCAGGTCCTTACATCCATATCCATCTACCATGCGATGTAGTGAATTTGAAACAATCAAATTTGTTCTTAGCTTGACATGTTTCCAGATTGATTTCCCATGATCGATGCCAACTTTAGCCTTGCCTGTGGTCAACCTTCCATGAATCCGAAACCCTTGATGACTAGATTATCCGCCTTGAAAATCGGGCAAATTAATTACTATTGTATCATCCTCGCAGGTAACGAAAACATGAACTCGTGCCATCTTTCTAAGTGATGACCGCACTGGTGATTATATATTTGCGGTGCCTCAGACAGAAATGAAGCAAGAAAGATACCAAATCGACCTTGAACAAACCACAACTACGATTTTGAGGGTAGCATTAATACGAGCTGAGAATCAAAGTCGTATCTTAACTTGAGATACGATATGGTAGTGGCACAGGGTCGAGAACAATAGCAGTGCACGTGAAGCCCTAGCCCTTATCGGGAATTGCCCGTTTGGGCTATTTGTTTATCCAACGCCCTCCGTCCCCGTGACTGAACCTCCGCAACTGGAATAACAATCGGTGGCACCAGAGGATTATCAAGTCTGGCTCTTCAGAAACACCCGCCGCCAAACACGACGAAACGACGTTCTGGAAACGACCACACCGTGTCTGATTAATCTCCATGCCACCGACCTAGAATGAATCTGCGACATTAATCGATTTCCTATCATATCCGACCGAAAAACTCTCAATAAGGTCTTGCCAGGCTTACCCCTCCCTCCCCCACCACCCAGCCACCATGCCTAGCAGAGTTCCCGCCCGTTCAACTTCTGCCTCGACGCGCAAGAACTCCGCGCAACCATCCGCTTCCGGGCGCGCAGCGTCGGTGACGCCTTCATTCGCTGTTCCCGATGAGCCCGCCTTGCCCGAGGCAGTCCCCACCCTGCGACGAGATATCTGTGCCATCTTCGCCGACGCCCAACGCTCGACCACTGGACACCGAAAACTTGTCGTGCGCCTTCGCAAGCTCCAGGAGTCCTGCTGCGGAATCACGCAAAAGAGCTCAAAGAAGGATGGAAAGCGGGAACAGAGTCGTTCGGAGCTGGTGCTGCCGTCCGAGGAAACAATCCCCGAGAAAGAGTTCAACACAGAAGTCGGCCGCTGCGTGCTGCGCATTCTGCCTGTCAAGAAATCAGAGCCGGTAGGCGACCGGATCCTACGGTTCCTGGGCACATTCCTGCACCAAGCCTCCGAGAAAGACGCCGAGTTGTTTGCGTCGAACGAGGACAATGACGACCTCGAAAATGTAACAGAGACCCCGACTGCCCGCTTGGCCACGACCTTGGTCAACCTCAATATACCCCTGTTGGTCGCGAAGGACAAGACCGTTCGGTTTCGCGCGACCCAGATCGTCGCGCATATCGTCAACTCGCTCGAGACGATAGATGATGACCAGTATCACGCTATCCGCCACGGCCTTCTGAAGCGCATCCGCGACAAGGAGCCCGCTGTCAGAGTGCAGGCGGTGATGGGACTGGGCCGACTCGCCGGCAATGATGACGACGACGATGATAACGATGAGAGTTCCCGAGCAATCCTGGAAAAATTGGTCGACATTATGCAGAATGATACCAGCGCCGACGTGCGGAAGACGCTACTCATCAACCTACCGCTGGTCCCGGCCATCCTCAAGTATCTCCTCGAACGAGCCCGCGATCTCGATGCACCGACCAGACGAGCAGTATATGCGCGTCTACTCCCTAGCCTCGGCGATTTCCGACACTTGTCGCTGTCAATGCGAGAAAAGTTGCTGCGCTGGGGCCTGCGCGATCGTGACGAGAGTGTCAGAAAAGCGACGGGCAAGTTGTTCTACGATCGCTGGATTGAGGACTGTGCTGGTACCAACAAGGATCCCGAAGCTGGACCCGTGGGCCAGCGTTCTCCTCCCGACACCTCGGCGCTTCTCGAGCTGTTGGAGAGAATCGATGTGGTCAACTCCGGTGTGGAGTCCGGGATTGCTCATGAAGCTATGCGTGGCTTCTGGGAGGGCCGCCCCGATTACCGAGAAGCCGTGGTCTTTGACGAGCCCTTCTGGGAATCTCTGACGGCAGAATCTGCCTTTCTCATCCGCTCATTCAACGACTTCTGCCGCGTCGAGAACGAGGGCAAGTATGACAAACTCGCCGATGAGAAGATACCCGAAGTTACGGCGCTGGCATTCTATCTACACAAATACATGACTAGCCTTCTGCAGAAGAAAAAGTCCGTCAAAGAGGCCGGCGATGCCAACGAGGACGACGCCGTTGAGAACGAATTCATCGTGGAGCAGCTGCTGCATATTGCTATGACTCTCGATTACAGTGATGAAGTTGGCCGTCGCAAGATGTACTCTCTCTTGCGCGAGTCTTTGGCCGTGCCGGACTTACCCGAGGAGTGCACAAAACTTACCGTCGAAACATTGCGGTTTGTCTGTGGACCAAATGCTGCTGCCGAGAACGAATTTTGCAGTGTTGTTCTTGAAGCTATTGCCGAGGTGCACGACACAATCACTACGGAGGATAGCTTTGTTTCTGCTAAGTCGGAGATCAGCGATGCCAGTTCGTCTCGCGCCCGATCGGAGACACCCCAAACCGAAGATGAGAAGCCTTTCAACAAAGAGGAGGCTAAGGCGAAGGTTCTTCGAGAGATTGTGGTGAATATGAAGTGTCTTCATATTGCCCTCTGCATGCTGCAGAATGTCGAAGGCAATCTTCAGGCCAATATGAACTTAGTAACCATGTTGAATAATCTGGTTGTCCCTGCCGTGCGGAGTCACGAGGCTCCGATTCGTGAGAGGGGTCTTGAGTGCCTGGGACTTTGTTGCTTGCTGGACAAGGTAAGTTTTTCTATCTGCATACCTGCGGGAACCCTAGCTAATTAGTGCATGCAGACCCTGGCGGAAGAAAACATGACTCTGTTTATCCACTGTTACAGCAAAGGGCACGAACTTCTGCAGGTCACTGCTATCCACATTCTCTGCGACATGCTGGCTACGCATCCCACCTTGCTCACCCCCGTGACTCAATCCGATGGAGAGACGGTAACACCACCGGTCTTCCAAAAGCCGTTGCTGAAAGTCTTTGCCAGAGCATTGAAGTCCAGCTCCCCGAACAGCGTGCAGACGGCCGCCGCCACTGCCCTTTCCAAATTACTACTTACAAGCGCTTTCAACCCTGGCGGAGCTAATGTGCCCCCGGCCATCCAGGAGTATAACCAGGCTGCTATCGAGACGCTTCTGCAATCCCTTGTTGTTTCCTTCTTCCACCCTCGCACGCGTGATAACCCTGCGCTTCGACAGGCCCTGGCCTATTTCTTCCCCGTCTACTGCCATTCTCGACTGGAAAACGCACAGTACATGCGCCGAGTGGCCGTGCAGGTCGTTCGGGCGACATTAAATGCCGCCGAAGAATACTACTCGCTGGAAGCCGAGGAAGACAGTGATGGTGATATCGACGAGACAGTCGGACAACGAGAGCTGAAGGCCCTCATGAGCGGTGTGCTGGGCATGTTGGCGGAATGGACCGATGAGCGGAGAGTTATTGGTTTGGGCGGAGAGAAGGTCCTTGCGGGCCAACCAACTAGCTCGACAGCATGTGGCTTCGTTCATCTGGAGCTGGTGAAGGACATCCTCGAGCGGGTGCTGGGAATTAGCACAGGCACCAATCGCTGCTCGAAAGAAGAGAAGAAGCTTCTCTTCTCCCTCCTCAGCAAACTCTACATTACAGCACCTGTGGTTCCCTCCCGCGCTGGATCTCGTGCTCCCGAAGGCGAGGACCCATTGCGTTCCAGTGTGCGCAGCGCACAGCCGGAGATCTCCCCCGAGAACGTCACCCTCGCTCAGGAGGTCAAGGAGCTGCTAGACGAGACGATCGAAGAGGGGCTGGCTGCCGAAGCCGCCAGCCGCAATGCCCTGGTCAAGGCGAAGAACTCGATCCTCAAGCTATTGGCGGCGGCCAATGGTCGTCCTGCCAGTGTGAGGATGCGAGAAGGCGACGAAGGCGACAGCGATGTCATGAGCGTGCGATCGATGAGCGTGCGGTCCGGCAGCGTGCGGCCCTCCATCGAGCCGGGGGCGATGCGTCGCGGATTCTCGGTTGAGCCGAGCATTATTGAGGAGGAAGACGAGAACGAGGACAGTCATACGACGGTGATCAAGGCGGAAACTCGCGACGAGTAATTTGTTGATTTCTGGTCTGGTTGGATTGGCGTTTTCGGATTTATGTCGGCGGGAGGGGTTCCTTGGCTGGGTATCAGCATACTGATGGGGTTTGTCATTTGTACCTAGTTTTTTTTCTTTCTTCTTCTCTTCTTTTCTTTAATTTTTCGGTGACGAGTGTAAATGATGTAATGTTTGCACAGTGGAAATATTTCTGGCGACCTTTTGGTTCTCTACTTGTGTATATGAGTTTTTTGACTTGAGGATGACGCGGATAGTCTTATCCCGGCATTGCCGGGAGAGCAGTGATCCTGAGAGCTCAAGGAGGAGGTGGTCCGGTGGGACAGTCTAGTGAGTTGGTAATCCATTCATCGTACAGTCTCCCCCCTGCTAGTGGCAGTGGCAGTTTAGACTGCCATGATCAAATCAATGGCGCAACGCGACTCTTGGCTGCAGGTGGAGGAGGGCAAGAGAACGCGTCTCACCACGGTTGCTGCCATTCAGTTGATGCAGCTTGAGGAGTGAAGCTGACACACATGGCTTCCTCAATGATGATCTTGCAATAACCACGATTCAATGATTTCGACTCTTGACCATGGACAAGCGAGAGAATAATATTGGACTAATGGACGATGCATTCATGATTCGGAATCTGGAAGCGAGACCGGCGGGCGGTGGATCCGGGGGTAGCTTGTCAATTGGCTGATGTCGACTGTCTTCTGCTTCTTTTGCGGTCTCTCTCTCTCTACTCCAACTCGGATAAGCAGGCAGTAAGGCGTCAGTTCAGTCAGGTTTACCCGCGTCCGTGGAAAGTCCCCGTGGGACAGAAGAGAAGTACGATGTGTTCCGTAACTTAATCTTCTTGCTTTGGCAATTCAACATATTTTTTCTGACATTCGGTCTGTCTGCATGGGCAGGGTGATCGCCATTGGTGGGGTATCCATAGCAATGAGTTCCAATTGCATCCATCATTGACATCAAGAGCTCTAGGTAGGTACCTTCAGGTAACGACTAAGATTGCCCCTATGGGGCAGGCGGTCCTCCGGAAGGCAGTAAGTATGATTTACTTGGTTAGGTTAGCCCCTTGGAGCAGGCGGTATCAAGAGAGCAATATACTCCAACTCCAACTCTGCGCATTGAAATTCCTACGAAAGTCGTCCTCGATGGCTTATCAATTATCGACTTCCTTCCATGACGCCCTCCCCCTGATTTCCTCGCACTCAAAAGCTTTCTGGCCAATACAGCGTCAGATGGATGGGTAACCATGGATGGTTGGAGAGCGGCACAATCAGGCCAGAAGGAACTCTTTGATGGGATGTTGCAGGCTGTTTTGACGAACGCAGGTCCTAACAATGATGAGCCGGTAAGAGATGAGATGACCCTGAGGTCAATCTGGTCCTTTGGCATTGATCAATGAGGAGATCAGAAGGACTATTAGCGGCATCAAGGCATACCTGGAAGCCTTGGTACATTCCCAATGCATCCTTCAATCAAATTTCTGTACGCCTGCAGCGAACAGCTTGTGGCGAATAACATACTTCAATTGCTCCTGCACTCCTGTACTAGAAGTGCTGCTTACTTCCTATAATCCACATTCCCTATCTGGCGGCTTTAGAGGCTTTAATAGCTGGGACAGTATCCGTACATCAGCCTAAGAGGGTACAAATCCGCTGTACGAATTTTGCGCAGCAACAGATTGGGGGGATATCTTGCCCCAGCTTAGCGATTCTGTGCCGTAGGCAAGTTTGTAAACGATATGGTTGGCAAGGATGTAATATCTAGTAAAGTCATGGCACAACAAGCTGCTATTGATTTGCTAAAGCCCTGGTATCTCACATTCGCATAGTAACCCAGAGAAAAGTCAGCTCAACAACCATCGAACCATCTCAATCACTATATGTTGAGCCTTCACAATTTAATAGTTTCCTCAGATCCATCAGAACCACTGGCATTATCTTGGCCAGCTGCGTATTGTTCATTTGCCTGCCTGATTAAGTCGTCCCTGAATTCCCTGGCCAGGTCTTGGGCATTTCGATAGGCCGTTATACCCCGCTGATAAGTATCTGGGTCACCATGTAATGCCCATTGCCCAGCCTGGGTCATCACATAATTGGTATCTGGATCATTATTGTCCGTAGATCTGGTAGGGTGAGTCACGTACAACCCTAGCAGTCCATCTTTGAAAGTAGCTGCGATAGTATAGGCATTATTGTCGTAATAATTCGGCTTATTGCTGCTCTGTCCATGCCCATATTGCTGCAGAGCATGCATAGCTCGTGCTCCCAGAGCAGCGTCATAACAGGCCTGGCGTTTAAGCACGGCGGAGCTTCCATCATGGCCTTTTGTCTCAAGGAAGAAGTTTGGTGCTATTGGACGGTTGGTCCGACGCGTTGGAATAATCGTGTTACTCAGGTCTTCCCGGATGTCGTTATCTAGCTGGTTCGGGCGCGCGCCATGGTAAAAATCAGGCGTAGCATTAGCTAGGGTGCCGTCTGTTAGGGGAGTCAAATTTGTGAATGAGTGATTGCCGCCATCTTCAAAGGAGTATTGCTGCGAGCCTTCAAGAAAAGGAAGGATTTTCTTGACAACCAGCTGCTCATCAGAAGTCTTGTCGTTAACTGTAGTAAAGTTTTCGTATTCTCTCTCTAAGGAGTTTTCTGATAGTGCCATTGAAGGTCGAGAGTTCCGTAGTCTTCTTTGAATTTCTGCAATGTTTGCCGGCCTAGGTGGCTTAGTACCGTCTGGATATGTACCAGATGGCATGAAGATACCATGGTCGTTTAGATGTCCCTCAAAATGGGGGTCGTAAGCTGTGCTTCCCTTGGTGGTAGTGCGCTTCGGGCTGGGATCATCAGGATCCATAGAGTACTGATCGAAGTGGGCTGGTGCGGGATACTATGAGCAAGGCTAATTAGTATATAACTGCTTCACAGATAGTTACCGGGAGAAGAATAGGCAGACAACTCACATCTCTAATATCTGATAGATCCGGTCCTCCACAGCGGGAAAATCTTCTAACTTCTTTTAAGCGAGCAGTAGAACAGTTGCGCAAGAAATCAGGAGCAAAGGTATGAGGAATAGAAGAGGAGCCTTGGTATAAGAACAAGGATCTGTTTCGTCGGTTGGCTTCTCTTAACGCGCTCTTGGTTAACCACAGCTTAGAGAGTTTATCCCAAAATAATGGAGGAGGATGAAAAGAGTGGTGCTTTTGTTGTTGATGCTGATGCTTGAAGGATGGCATAAAGGGAATATATGTAGATAGAGCAGCTAAAGAAGAGGTTGCAACTGGTAAGAAAGAACAATGGTGTTGTGGCGGGAGTATGTAAGATAGAGTAACTAAAGAAGAGTTTGTGAGTAGTAAGAAGAAACAGCAGTTTGGAGGGCTTTTTAGAAAGTACGAAGATAAACAGGTGATGGTGACAGAAGTATGGTTGGCCGTATTCTAGATGAGAACAAAGAAGTCGCATCAATACAAAGCACAAATCATTTCAATCACTCGATTGTGCTACTACCACCCACAGTTTTGGTCAACCATGTATAAGTTATCTGATAGCAAGGGCAACTGAATGATTGTATACCTAAGCCTGGCACCAGAAGGTCAGGGATGCTAATTCTGGCAAGATAGTAGGCGATGAAAAGGCATAAATCTTAGAGTAATATATTTTTTTTAAGGATATATAGTATAAGTTGTATTAACTATAAATATATATATATATATATATATCAAAAAACAGTCTAGCTTTTTAATTATTGAAACTTTCACTAACGCCTGCGTCCGGCTTCTGTTTTTATATATATATCAAGTTCTAATGTATGGTATCATAAGCATATACTAAAAAAACTAATATTCTAAAGCTTTTGGAATTCTACTGCCTAAAGCCTATAAATATAACTGCTAAGCTGCCTTGAGAAGTCTGCCTGCCGGCTGCAAGCGGCCGGCTGAAGTTCTTGTCCTTATAAAAATGTTGTTATCACAACGCGTTCCCAGTGAGCAAGCAAAACAAGCCTTTTTTCTATACAGATAAGGCAGCAAGGCCTCCCCAAGCCTCCGTGGGCACCTCCCTGAGGCAGCGAGGCCTCTCCAATCTTGGGCTTTTAAATTACTTGCAGTTTGGAACCAACTAAGTAAATCTAGATCTTCTTTTTCATTTTTTTTTATATAGGATTATATATAGTAAATCGAAGTTGAGCTATTCTTTTTGATTTTATACATTTCCTCTACAAAAAATAAGCAGTTTGGTAGATTTAGTGACATCGTTGGCATATGTGCTTTGTATGGGAGTTTGGTGGGAAAATCGCGTGTTCGGAAGGTGCGTGAGGGACTCTCGAGTACTCTGTAATAGCATCGGAGTGACAGAATTTGAATCTCTTATATTTGACTATTCCCTTCCAATTTTAAATTGATAGCAACAATTCTCGACTTGACCTCGTCGTGGTGGTGAATAACTATTAGGGAGGAACTGGCGACCAGAGACCGAGGGAGAGAGTGAGGGAGGGAGGAGTATCCGTAGGTTTTCTTTTAATCTCGACGCTCCACCAAAAACAACATCCGGGCCTGGGGACTTTCTTTTTCCTTCTCTCTCTCCTCCTTCCTCAATCGCTCTCTCACTCTTACTCTTTTGCTCTTACTCTCTCTCTCTCTCTCTCTCTCTCTCTCTCTCTTTCTCCTCTTCTCCTCCTCTTCTCCTCCTCCTTCTTCCCCCCTCTCTCTTTCCCTCCCTCCTCTTCCCGCCCGCGTGTCTTTTTCTTCCCTTCCACGACGGTCATTTCTCCCCGAGTCGTGAAAATCGTGTCGCCTGCCGGTCCTTGCAGAGACACGTTTTTTTTTACCCTTTCCCTTCCCTCCCCCCCTTTCTCCGACCCGTCCGTGGTTCTTTCCCACACCCACCCCCCCCCTCCACCAACCCCCTGCTGCCCGCTCCGTTGGCGTGAGAGGCAGTGACCGATCCAACAACACCTTGAGCGATGGCCGCCGTATCAGCTCCCACTCCTAAGCTGGATCGCTACATTGTCATCCACGTCGCAACCACCTGCGATGAACATGGCGTCTACGTCACTAAGGATTCCGCCGAGGTGATTGAGTTGGGGTGGATCTTGTTGGATACCAAAACCTGCGAGGAGGTATGCATGAATCTTATTCTATTTTATCTGATCTCGCTCGAGTCCTGCTCGTCCAATTCCAGCCTTCTTGTTGCTGCACCCCTCTTCTTTTGATTCTCCTCTTCTGATCACCCTTGCTCGATTGCTGCGTTGCTGCATCTTCCTCAACCTCAACCAACCCAATCCCACCAACCCCCAAGGACTTGCGGCCGTTACCCGGAGAGAACTTGCCTCCAATTCAACCATCATGTTTGCTGACTCGGCGTCCCCTCTAGTTGCACCATGAGAGCGTGCTCGTCAAGCCTGTCAACACCCCCATCACGCCTCTCTGTAGTAAGTCTACCCAATCAACTTCAGCCTCGTCCGCCAATGCCCCCTCCCCGTCAGCCTCGATTCCTTCCCCTTCCCTCTCTCCTGCCCTCTCGGATACATCGGTTCGTTGGTTCAATGGCTGACGTTTCTCGACAGCGAGCCTGACAACTTTAACATGGGAGCATGTTCGCTCCGCAGGTACTTTCCGCGACGCCATCAGCCGCTTCGACGCCTTCGCCCAGGAACACCTCATCAGCAAGAACCTCGAATTCGCCTTCGTGACATTGGACTCGTGGGATCTCCGTGTTCAGCTGCCTCGCGAGGCCCGTGACAAGGCCGTCGTGCTCCCCGCATACCTCCAACATTCGCGGACGTTCGACCTTCGCACCGAGTATCAGCGATGGCAGACTCACCACCCCGAGTCTCTGCCCTTCGGCCCCAGCTCTCTCTCCAACATCTGCGCCGCTCTCGAAGTCGAACCCGTGCAGTCCTCCGCCCCCATCAAGCATAACCTTCCATTCCACTTGCAGGCTTTGGCCCCCGCATCGCCGCGGAGAGCCATGGAAGAAGCCATTACGCTGGCCCGGGTGCTCCGTGGCCTGATCCGGAAGTCTCAGCCTCCCCATGAACATCCCGAGATTCTGACTCGCCCTATGGATGCCAGGGCCGATGTCCGGGCGTTCCTGACCGAGCGCAGCAAGGTGCTTCACCTGAGCGGTCTGCCCCACGATACTACGCAGTCGGAGCTGGAGAGTTGGTTCACCCAGTTCGGTGGACGTCCCATCGCGTTCTGGACTCTCCGCACTCCTGACCAGCACAAGCCCACCGGCACTGGATTCGCGGTTTTCTCGTCTCACGAAGAGGTAAGAAATTGAAATCACGTACATGTCACACATCGCTTTTCTAATCATCATCCCAAAGGCCGCTGAAAGTCTGTGCATGAACGGTCGTGCTCTCAACGAAAAAGCCATTGAGGTCTCTCCTTCCTCCAGCCGGGTTCTCGACCGTGCTGCTGAAATCTTGACACCCTTCCCCCCTTCGAAGAACCGCCCCCGTCCTGGCGACTGGACCTGCCCTTCATGCGGTTTCTCCAACTTCCAGCGCCGCACCGCCTGTTTCCGCTGCTCTTTCCCCGCCATGGCCGCTGCCCCTGATCCGATGGGATACGGTTACGGTTACGCTCCCCCTTCCATGATGCCTCCTCACATGGGCCACGGTGGTCACGGCATGGGCCACTCCCGCGGTATGGGCGGCAACGGTGGCGTGGTTCCGTTCCGCGCTGGTGACTGGAAATGTGGATCTGAAGGCTGTGGTTACCACAACTTTGCTAAGAACATCAACTGTCTCCGTTGCGGTGCCCCTCGATCTGGCGCTGCTGTCGTCGCTGACTCGGCTTTCCCCTCCCCCATGGACCCTCCCACTGGCTTTGGCATGGGTCCCAACTCCATGACGAGCACCCCCGCTCCCGGAGGTTTCACTGGATCGGCCGGTGGCTTCGGCGGGTTCAGCCAGCAGTTTGGTGCTCCCCCTAACAACTATGCCCTGCCCTCAGGCTTGGGCAGCACCCCTAGTGGCTACGCCCCCATGGGCCAGATGAATGCCGGCTACGGTTCCTCGAACACCTCCCACTCCGCGGCTTCATTCTCCAACCCCGCCGCCCAGGCCGCTTTCACCGGTGCGGATCACACCACTTCCACGAGCGCTTCTAACGGTGCGTTCTATGGCAATGACGGTGCGAGCGACCCCTTCGCCTTTCTCTCCACCGGCCTCGGCGGATTGACTGTGGGCGAGGATGGCCACTCTCGTCGCAACGGGGCTGGTGCCAACAAGTCCCCTGCTTAAACGGCCAGGAGGTATATTTGTCATTTTCTTTGCTACGGTTGTTACACACGTTTGTCCATATGGAGGGCTGGAATATGTTGGTATATGTGACGGTTGATATTCGTTGATGCGCATTTGTATAAGGAATTCTGCAGTTCTGGTGCATTCGGTTGGGAGGAGCAGGCCGGTAGCGTGTCGTCGTTTCAACGGGTTTGATCCTTTTTGTTTCGCCTGGTCTCGTTGCAGACCTTATCACAGACATTTTTTTCGGTATGTCTTACTATTTTCGCCATTGGAAGCGATGCTTGAGGATATAGAAGCCCGTCCTGGTAGGGTTGACGTTCTGTTCACGCCGCCGGAGGTGGTGGCCGACTGGATGTGGATTGTGCTCGAGCATGGCATTGCATTCTAGATTTTGTCTTTCTTATTGGTTTTCCGCATTCATCTGCGCTCTTCGACAAGCGGGTTCATTGGAGAAACACAGGTATTGAATCACACGGGTTGGGATACAATGGAACGGACTCTCTTGGGGGTGTTGGGGTTGGGGTATTCCTTTTGAGCCAGCAAAATCTTCATTCAACCAGCGAAGGTCGATTGGGAGTCGTGACGTGCGACCAGAATGTTCTGAATGTCCATAATTGTCTTGTCATTTTATTGTTCTCTACATATTGAAGATTTAAAAGTCTGCTGTATTGTTCGATTATCTGGTCAGCCTTAATGTAGTCAGTAAGAAGCTTGGGGGGAATGATTTCAGATCATAAAATATTCAATTTGTTGTCACGAAGACAGAGTGGGTGGTTGTTGATGCCGGCTCAGGCAACGGAGGTAGCGTCATGGTCCGGCTAGCCGCGCGCCTAGCGCTTGGGAGCTCTGAAGGCAGCGGCGGGACTCGCGTCCACCTCCATCTGTCATCGCCCAGGCCGGAGACCCTCAGCCAGCTCTTTACGACCCCAGACCACTAATTGCATCTTCTGACGATCTGTTCTTCTCCTCCTCTTCCAGTATATCCGTTAATCTCGCACCCCGTACCTGTTACCCATCATGTCCGGCTACGATCGAGCTCTTTCAGGTAAGCCAGATCCGACCGAACCTAGCTTAGCTGAAGCTCCTACATCATCGACCCGAGGGGACTAGGAGTAAGTGAAGATGGATTGCTAATTTGTAACAGTATTCAGGTACGGCAACTATGATACTTCTTCTTAGAACTGTGATTAACTCTTGTTATCAGCCCTGACGGGCACGTCTTCCAGGTGGAATATGCCATGGAAGCTGTTAAGAGAGGTACGTACCTCCACCTCCTCCATCAGCCATCGAGCACGACCAGCACCTTAACCCTCATCTTTTCGACAACTCCCACGGCCCTTGATCCTCTCAACCTACGTGACACTAACGTCCATGACCCAACCGAACAGGTACCTGCGCCGTCGGCGTAAAAGGCAAGGACGTGGTGGTCCTCGGCTGCGAGAAGCGCTCGGCTCTCAAGCTCCAAGACACCCGCATCACCCCCTCGAAGATCGCCATGGTCGATAACCACGCCGTGCTGGCGTTTGCCGGCCTGAACGCCGACGCCCGGATCCTGATTGACAAGGCCCGCCTGGAGGCACAGTCGCACCGCCTCACCGTCGAGGACCCCGTCACCATCGAATACATCACCAAGTACATCGCCGGAGTGCAGCAGCGGTACACGCAGAGTGGAGGTGTGCGGCCCTTCGGGATCAGTACGTTGGTGGTGGGCTTCGATCCCAACGACCGCACGCCGCGGCTGTACCAGACGGAGCCGTCGGGCATCTATTCGGCCTGGTATGTTTCCCCCGCCTTCTCTTCTAGAGTATCTTGCTTCTGTGTAGTAGCTGGCAGTGGAAGCGAATGAATGACCAGGTTGGCTAATGACGTGTTGGTGGGATACAGGAAAGCCAACGCCATCGGCCGCTCCAGCAAGACGGTCCGCGAGTTCCTCGAACGCAACCACCAGGATGACATGGACCGCGAACAGACCATCCAGCTCACCATCAAGTCCCTGCTGGAGGTGGTGCAGACGGGCGCCAAGAACATCGAGGTCGCCATCATGGCGCCCGGCCAGGCGATCGAGATGCTGCCGGATGACCAGATCGAGGCGTACGTCAAGAGCATAGAGACGGAGAAGCAGGAGGAGGCCGCCAAGAAGAAGACGGCCCGCGGCGGGACTACGACGGCGGCGATCCTCACTCGCCCTGGTGGTGGTGAGACCGGCGAGTCGTCTTGATTTGGAGAATTCTAGATGAGAGAGAGATGAAGACAATAGTGGTTTTACTTTATCCCCTAAGCGCTGTGCTATGTTCGAACCAATGAAATACTTGTCATGAAAGGAAAACCGTTACTTTTGGCAGTGATTGTGTAGTTCAAGTCGTAGTCTATACGGTTGTTTTCTGGTATGAAGGCAGTATGAACAAGAGAAGAGAAATATACACCCCCACCCTCAACACCAATTCAAAATAAAATAAACAAAGAGAAAGTAATGTAGCATGAAATCGTAAATCTTCGTTAAAAAACCCCCTGCTTTTCCTCCATCTCAAAGCCTGGACAGACAGAAGCGATTCTAGTTCTAACCCAACCGATCCGAAATATCCTTGAAATTAAAGATGGATTTCTCTTGATGTCCGCGAACCCGGTCGTCCTTTAGCATTCTACGCGAGGCATGATGCGTTAGCTTAAATCCAATCAAGCTTTTTCTCTCTCTCCCCCCTCCCCCTTTTCCCCTCCATCTCATTTCCCACCAGAGCGGGGCAGGCAAAGCCACCTCCCCTCTTGGAGAAAGGAAAGGAGGAAAAAGGGAGAACAGAACGGATAAATAAAACCGCAGGGATAAGAAAGAAGCATACCTCGAATCCACTCGCGCATCCTCGCCTTCCACGTGTAGCGTCGGGGTCGGCGTCACCGCCTCGATCACAAAGTGGTTGTCGCAGTGGGGACAGTATTCGTCACTGGGTTGCGAGGATAATCCGTTAGATTACGTGTTCTTTTCTTTTCTTTCTTTTTTATTCAAATTGCGCGAGTAGCTTTATAGAAGGGCAGACATACCTCTCGTCGAATTCGGCCGTGTCCTTGCGGAAGCATTTCTTGCATTTCTTGCAGGCGAAGACCTGTTTGTTCCCCGGTTGTTGTTAGTGTTCTGATAGGTTGTTGGGGGTTTGTGTAGAATGATGAGGGTGGGTGGGTGGTAGTGAGTGGGATTGGGGCCTGCTTTGTGCTTTGTGCTTTGTGCTTGGTGCTTGGTGCTTGGTGCTTGGTGCTTGGTGCTTGGTGCTTGGTGCTTTGTTGTGAGGGGCTCGCGGGGATGGGGGATTTGGTTTGTTTTTGGGGGAGTAGGGATTGAGGGGATGTAGGGTGTATGCATCGTCAACGGTGTAGCGGTGGGAACGGGCGAAGAGGATGTACCATCTCACTGGCTTTCTGGAGGGGATGTCTTTCGGTCTCTTGGTGGCATTCGGCGCAGTCGAACCATTTCTTGCCTGTGGGTTTTCCCATGATACCTTAGTTTCGGAGTTCTGAAGTTGAACGGGATATCGGGACTTACAGCAAGGGGATCGGATTGCCACTTGGGCGTTGAGGACGTGTTTGCTATAGTAGGTCGAGAGATGAGGTTATTACTTGCGGTTGCGGTTGCGGTTGCGGTTGCGGCTGCGGGCTGCGGGCTGCGGGCTGCTTCCTTACCACATGGTTGTTCGATGAGGTCTGTGAGGGCTGTCTGGGCTTGAGATGGAGTTCGGAGGTGTTGTTGAGATGCTAAGTAAAGGACTGTTCTATTTCTGTCTTGTATCGTGCAGTTTGGAACTGGAGCTTAGGCGGAATAACGAAGCCGAATGGAGAAGACGCGGAGGGGGGGAGAGGAAGGCTAAAAATAAAAAAAGAAGCCAATAAATGACGGATCCAAACCGCCGGCTGTCATTCCGCCTGCCCGCCATTCTTCCTCTGCTCTACTCTCCGTACTTACTATGGACTAGGCATTCGTCTCCAGAACTTCAACAACTACTTCTTCTGACCACACTCGACGCGACTCTACTTTACCTCAACCTCCTGTTTATTGTTTACTGTGCACTGCTGGAGACTACGCCCTAGTCTCGCAGTGTCTAGTCCTCATCTCCTTTCCCTTCCTCGTCTTTGTCGATCCACCCTAAACCACCAGCGTTCTATTTGGTTGCCTCGAGTCGTCGTCGTCGTCTTCCGTTGTGATTCTCCCTTCCCCTCCCCTCCCCCCCACTCTCTCGAACTCTCCCTCCTTCTTCTGCTTCTCTCCCCTCCACTCGTTCACCATCAATTAGTTTTCCTCCGACATACATACCCTCTCATATACTCTTTCCCGCCGGATTGTCTGTGGCCAGTTACAACCGCACAGCTGGGTTTTGTTCTCATCCCTCCTCGAATTTCCCCCTCCTCTCCCCCCTGCTGTTCCTCCGCACCTCCTCCACTCCCTTCCGCCTGGAGCTCCGCCACAATCGTCACAGAGCCAAATCGCCCTCCCCTGCCACCTCCATTATCCTATCCATTACCGGTCTTCGAACTCTTTGCGCCCTCACTTGGTCACCTCCAGTCAGCATTATATCGCCTACCGCGATTGGCTGCCTATGAACTATATTCTCCCCAAGATTCTGTGTCGGATCGGTTGTCATGGAGGGAAACGGTCAGAAGAAGGACGGCACGGATAATGCCCACATTGTATGTCCCAGATACAGAAGTCCGGCGGGGACCCAAGCTAAACTCTACAATCTTAATAGAGACCCGTATCCTCTCTGCTTTCGCATTTCGAGAACTTGTCGCATCGCCGAGCTCCGTCCGCCGCCGCAACGAATGGCACACGCGACACCCCTTCCTTCCTACGGACCCTTGAACCGGGCGACGACGTCCGCTCGTCTTCGCGAGCCTCCCTCGACCTGTCTCGGTCATCACGTACGCCATGGGAATCCACACCCGAATTGAACAGAAGTCACGGGTCTTTGCACGGCAATTGCATCCCCCCTCGACCCGGACGCACTCCCGGGGTCTCCCCTGGGCGGCGGCAGGATAGGCCCATGTCTCTGAGCCTGCGTTCGTCGCCGCAGCTCCCACCAACCTTGACAGTTGACTCTCCTCGATCTCCTCCACGGGGATTCGGATCGCTGGGTGAGCATGAAGAGCATGCACAGTTCTCCCGCAGTCCTCTCAACGCGTCTAGAGAGTCGTTGCCTACAATCCCGCAGGGAGGCCGTCCGACGACCCCGGTCACATCGCGCTTTCCTACAGAACTCAAGGTAGGGAGCCTCTCTCCGGGGCCCACGGGCTCGATGACCAGTGGCCGTGAAAGCCCGCAGGACCATCATGGGAAGAGCGCATCCCTTCCGCCTCCGGTGAACCGGGTGGACAAGCCCAAGATTCCCGTCAAACCGGCCGCATTGGCTCATCACGAAGGCAGCTCGCTCACGACTCCGCAGCCTGAGCGTGCGCCCGCGGATGACCGCATCTCGCCATTCAGCACCCCACCAAGTAGCCCCGAGAAAGACTCTCCGAAGCGGAATCCGCTTACTTCGAGCGGCATACAGCTTGCGCGCTCCCCCTCTCGCCGTTCGCCCTCGGAGCCGCCAGCAGAACCCCCGCGTCATCGCTTTGAAGAACGAATCTCTACACCCCAGCCTCCTCTATTCCGCGAGCCTTCATTCACACAACGGCACTCTGTTGCAGAACCTCCGCGCGAGACTAGACCATTATCCGTGCAGATTCCTCCAAGACCGTCGCTCCCAGCAGAACCTCTATCTGCCGTGCCACTTTCTGCGAACCGGATACCGATGCATGACGGTTTCTCAGAACGTCCGGGACTGCCTCCACGGCAGCCGTCGATTGCGCGAAGAGGCGGTCCGTCACCCTCGCGATTGTCCATACAACGAGAAAATCCGGTGCATTCAATCCCACCGCCGACGCCACAACGGGAATCGCGGTACTTGGACAGCCCGGCGTTCTCCATGCCGCCTCCGACGCCTAACCGGGAGTCGCGGCAATTGCGTCGGGACGAACTTCCCACGCCGACAACGGTCCAGCGCCATCCGTCGATCGCCCGAGAGAATAGACCGGGCCCGCCTCCGGCTGTCCCGGAAAGACCAGTGGTGGAGCGCCCTCTTACAGAACGGCCTGTGGTGGAACGGCAGTCAGTGCGTGTCCAGAGTGAGGATGAACAGAACCTAGACAGCGTTCCCATTGCGCGTAATGACTATCCGGACGCTTCGACTGCCAACAGACGCCCGCCACTTTTAAAGTCTGGGCCAATGGAAATTAATACACGGTACGACACACGACTCATGGATGTGTGTGGAAAGCACGTGTGCACCACCGGGTATATCACACGAGTGTGGGATCTCACAACGGGCGAGCAACTCGTGAGTCTCAGTCATGGAGAAACGGTCAAAAGCTTGTCGCTGGCCTTCAAGCCCGGTGTTGGACTGGAAGATGAAGGCCAGCGCGTATGGCTGGGTACGAATTCTGGTGAATTACATGAGGTGGAAATTGCAACCGGGTCTATTGTAGCATCGCGCTCGTATCCGTCAAGAAAAGAAGTCGTCAAGATCCTTCGTCACAAAAAAGAGATGTGGACCCTTGATGATGAGGGTCGGCTATTGGTTTGGCCACCGGATGAGAACGGCACTCCCAACCTTCAATACAGCTACCACAACCCTTATGATCGGGTTGCCCGCGGACATACTTTCTCCATGGTAGTGGGCGATAAGCTCTGGCTGGCTGCGGGCAAGGAGGTACATGTGTACCGGCCCAATGCGCGGGACGATATTTCGTTCAAAGTACTCAGCAGGCCGCTTGGCGCGCATCATACTGGTGATGTCACGTCTGGCGCATATACTACTCGAGACGGCGGCATTGTCTATCTTGGTCATTCGGATGGCAAGGTGACGGTTTATTCTGCCAAAGATTACGCGTGTCTAGCAGTGGTGAACGTCAGTGTCTATAAGATCAACTGCCTGGGAATAGTCGGGGACTACCTGTGGGCAGCGTACAAAACCGGCATGATCTACGTCTACGATACGAGCACAAACCCCTGGACAGTCAAGAAGGACTGGCGTGCCCACGACAGCCCTGTGAGCGGGTTCTTGTTGGATTCGAGCAGTGTGTGGACGATGAACCGCCTCCAAGTGACTTCACTGGGTGACGATAACTGCATTCGTTTGTGGGATGGTATGTTGGAGGATGATTGGTTGGGTGAGTTACCATTTCGGGGATTGTTAATGGCCTTCACTGACCCGAGTATAGAAACCCGGATGCAAACCAGAGACGTCGAGTTTTGTAATTTCCGTGAGATCCATGCCGCAGTTATTACCTGGAATGCTGGTGCTTCGACACCTGGCAGTGTGCGGACGTCATCGTTCATCCAAGATGCCATTCATCCTGAGAATCCCCCGGAGGTTATAGTCTTTGGTTTCCAGGAACTGGTGGACCTGGAGAACAAGAAGATCACAGCCAGTATGTGCATTTCATCCTCAATTAGAATTCAATATGTTATCTTAGGAATACTAATACAAATCCAGAGAGCCTTCTCCTGGGCAGCAAGAAGAAAGACAGCGGGGACAAGGAACACATGAGTCGGCAGTATCGGGTGTGGATGGAACATCTAACACGCTGCATCAACGATTGCATGCCGCTGGAGGAATCGTATGTGCTGTTGCATAGTGCGAACATGATCGGACTCTTCACGTGTGTGTTCGTCAAACACAAGGAGCGGCAGAGAATCACGGATATCAGTGCATCTGAGATCAAGCGGGGTATGGGAGGATTGCATGGCAACAAGGTAAGCCGTCTTGGGCCTGCATGTAGGAGTATGACTGACGATGTAGGGTGCTCTTCTGTTCCGCTTTACGCTGGACGACAGCTCCATCTGCCTGGTGAATTGCCACTTGGCAGCCGGCCAGACGCAGACAGCCCACCGTAACAACGACATCGCGGCGATCCTCGAGGCAGAGTCGCTTCCCGCGGAGCCTAGCCTCGCTGCACGCGCGAACCGCTACGTGAGTGGTGGTGACGGATCGATGATCATGGACCATGAGATCTGCATCCTCAATGGTGATCTGAACTACCGAATTGACGCCATTCCACGGAATGTGATCATCGACGCGGTCCGCAGTAACAACCTCACGAAGCTCCTCGAACGCGACCAGCTGCTCGCCTCGCGGCGCAAGAACCCTGGTTTCCGCCTCCGGTCCTTCAACGAGTCCCCCATTACCTTCGCCCCGACGTACAAGTACGACGTCGGCACCGACGAGTACGACTCGAGTGACAAGAAGCGTGCCCCAGCCTGGTGTGACCGGGTTCTGTACCGCGGCCTCGGCCGGGTTCGACAGCTCGAGTACCGTCGCCACGAGGTGCGGGCGTCCGACCATCGGCCCGTCAGCGCCGCTTTCAAGTTCCGTATCAAGACCGTGTTGCCCGCGGAGCGGGAGGCCGTCTGGGAAGCCTGCCAGCAGGAATTCTCCCGCGAGAAACGTCGACTGGCCTCCGAAGCGAGGTAGGATTTTCTTTTATGTCCGGTATCTTGTTGTGTAACGACTAATAAATACCCCAACAGTATCGAATATCTCATCACCGTCCTGGGCACCGAACCGCAACAAGCCCGGTCTTTGATCATGGGCAACGGGAATTGAACCTGTATTTTGTGTGGTTGGATTCTTTGGGATGTTCTCTGTGGTCATCGGGGAGGTTGAACTTCAGACCCTGCCCTCCGCGACCCAGCGCAGCACTACAATCAGGCATAGCGTTACACCGCCGACGTGTGTATATGACTAATGATTCACGATAGACATGTATTTATCATGATAGGAGAAGAGGGGGTTCTTTAGAAGGAGGTATGGCATTGTTTGAAGAGGATGAAATACTTAATTAATATTGGGATGGTTGGGTGGTGGGTTGATCGATGCAGTGTATTTGGGTGTTAGCCATTCAGGGAAGACCAGCCAGGGAGAGAGAGATACAGAGAACGGTGGATGGGGTGTATATACTACCATTACTATTTATTTATTTGTTGATCTTTTTCTTCTTTGTTGGCGATGGAGGAGTTGTCAGTCCACACATAAACGATGATTCACTATGGAGTATTCTACTTTCCTATTCTACGGTTGATTGAATGACTTGGTAGAAAGTCAATTTCATAATCTTCTCCTTTTCAAAGTCATCTTGAGTTAGCAAGTTGACAGCTCATGTGAGCCGAGCTTAGTCCAAGTTCCTCAAGTTCCTCGACTCCGAACAATCTGTTGCAGTCTCACCGTCTGATACCGCTGCTGCAATGCTTCACTCCATATACAATCAGTTCATCCAGCTGCGACCTTCATCTGAGCAATTGCGCTCACAGCATCTCAAGAGATCGGATTAGGTTGAGGACAGACCTGAATCACGGACGATATACCATGGGTAAAGGAAGCTAATCCAGCCACAGTGTAAATGACGATCACATTCCGGAGGATATCAGAATCGGTTAATTATCCAGGATCCAGCATCTTAGTCTTCTGGCAACAGCTCACAGCACAAACTCCAGCAACAGCTTTCAGCAACAGCTTCCAACAACAACAACAGCCAACAACAACAATCCCCATGGCCAGCCAAGCACAGCAACACCAAGCAGACAGCGTTGTGTCCCTCGCAAGCCGTGTCATGGCGCTAGCCCAGCGACACGCAGCCGTCACAAAGGAAGGCGGGGATGCCACCACCGCACGGGCAGCGCTGTGCGCTGCGTGCGAAGAACTGGCTGTCACCACAACGGCCCCGGAGGCGTGGCTATGTCAGACCGCGGCGTCGTCGCACACGGCCGCCGCGCTGGCGATCCTGCTGGAGACGGACATCATCACGCGGCTGTGTGAGACGGCTGAGCCGGTGGCCGGTCCGACCCTTCTGAAAGACGTTGGCGATGACGCTACCCCTGCGCTGTTTCGTGAGTTGACGCCGGTTCCCGACCTCAGCGCGAGCCAGTGAGGCTCTCCGACCATTCCCGACTCACAAAGTCTACAGGCTGTGCGTTGAGACAATGCGCCGCCAGCCGTCTTTTAGACGAGCCTGTCCCCGGTCATTTCCAGCGCAACCCGCGCACTGAGCTTCTGCATGATCCCTACATCCGGGACTGGATTCATTACCTGTCAGTCCCCAGGTCCAATGTTCGTGACAGACTAGCTAGGGGGTTCTCTAATGCACCAGCATGGGAACAGGGTGGACGATGGTCTGCGCTGCGCATCGTGGTTATCGCGGTATGCCACGCAGAACGACTACCATATCCCGGACGAGCGACATCGAAGCGCCTTCGAACTGGCTTTCAATAGTGAGCCTTAAGCCCCCTCCACCTCTGATATCACAGAAATTGTGGCTGGCGGACGATGAGCTACTATACTAACCTAATGAATCTGAAGCAAACACCCCCTGCTACGACTACTACCGCCAACTCGACCCGCCGCGCGGCCAGCGCTTCGACAACGCGATGGAGGGCTACTTCCGCATGAACGCGCCCACTCCTATCGAAGACATCATAGCCTTCCCCACCTTCTGCCCGGCAGACGGGGTCGTGGTTGACGTGGGCGGCGGCCGCGGCCATCACTCCCTGCGCCTGGCGCAGAAATACCCGCGCATGCGCTTCATCGTGCAGGACTACGCGAGCGAAGCCCCGAACACGTCCAGCATCACCCCCGACCCCGGACTCCGTGAGCGGGTGCGCTGGATCAAGCATGATTTCTTTGATGAGCAGCCTGTGCGTGGCGCGGCGGTGTATCTGCTAAGCCATATCTTGATGGATCATCCTGATCGGTAGGTCAACTCCCTTAGGATGTGGGGTATGGTTTTAATCAACATTCTGGGACAGGGAAAGCCAGAAGATCCTGGAGTATCTTGCGGAGGCCATGGACGCCCGCTCGACCCTGCTGGTGGACGACTTCTTCGATCCCGGAGACAGGCGGTTCGGCTCGCCGCAGGGGATTGCCCTGGCGTTGCATCTAATCGCGTGCCGGGGGACGGCTTTCCGGACGATGGAGCAGTGGACGGCGCTGTTTGCGCGTGTGCCGGTGTTGACGGTAAAGGAGTGTCGGATGCTTGAGCATGGGCGGGTGGTGATAAGGGTGTCCAGGAGAATAGGTGTGGAGTAGTGTTGAGTGTGAGCCATCTCGCTTCAATGGGTACGGTAAATGAAAAAGGGATATACCCATGAGTTAGGGATCGCGTTGACAGTTCATAATTGCATACATAGGGTCATTGCAAGCGCCCCCGAGGAGGTCCGAAAGGATCATTTGGTTCAACCCAGTGGCGGCAGGATTCCCTTCACATCATTTGATGAGGCCCCCGTCGGATTTTGCGGCTTTAGGACTTCTCCTAAACCCTACCCTGCATGGATTTCACTTATAAGCCAGCGACCACGGCCTCACGCAATTGCTCCTGAATTTTTTGGTACTTGAATGAGCAGGATTCACAACTTACAGTCTCGTGAGAGAAAGAGTCGACCTCAGGTGTCTGGAGATCTTAGTCAGGTAGTATACGGTTCAATACTCAACTCTACGGCATACATACCCACCGCCGCCGCCGCAGTATGTCCCCACCAGCACTACGCCCCGGATATCCCCTCGCCTGGCGCGCGGGCAGCGTCCTCCTCGCCGGAGGGGGCCTCTACGCCACCTACAGCCTTTTCGCCCAGCGCGCGCACGCAGAGTCCCCCGAAGCCCAGGCACCAGCCCCGACCCCGCGACCGGTCTTCTCCCGGTTCGGCCCAACCACGCTGCGGGTGCAGGCCGTGCAGGAGGTCAACCACAACATGAAAAAGCTGGTGCTGGCGTACCCCGACCCAGAAGCGAAAAGTGGACTCCAACCGATCTGTACGTTACCTCCTGCTGTACTGTCACGCACCATTACGCACCATAAGTCAAACAAAACAACAAGAAAGCTAACTAGAGTAATCCGTGACAGCCTCCCTGATAACCCTAACCCATCCCCCGGGCCGCTGGCTCCCGCTCCCCCGGCCATACACCCCGATCAGCGATCTGGGTTCGTTGCCCTACCTCTCTACCTCAAACCCCCACCCCGCAACCACCCACTAACAAATGGACAGACGAAAAAGGCCACCTCACCCTCCTGATCAAAAAATACCCCCACGGCCGCGGCAGCAGCTACCTCCACGCCCTCCAACCAGGCGACTCCCTGACCGTCCTCGCCGCCCGGAGGGGGTACCAGCACCAAGAACCCAACCAATTCTCGCACGTGTACCTACTCGCCGGCGGGGCGGGCATCACGCCGTGCTACCAGCTCATCCAGACGATCCTGAAGGATCCAGCGGAGAACACGAAGCTCACGCTGCTGTTTGGGGGGAATACCGAGGCGGATTTGGTGCTGAGGGAGGAGTTGGAGGTGTTGGCGCGGGGGTTTCCGGATAGGTTAAGGGTGGTGTATACTGTTAGTCAGGGGAGGGATGTAGGGGGGAGCGGGGGCCAGGGGGAGGGCAAGGGGAAAGGGGAGGTGAAGGAAGGGCGGATTGATGAGGCGTTGCTGCGGGAGAATATTTTAGACAGTGCGGGCAGGGTGAAGGTGTTTGTGAGTGGGCCGCCGGGGATGGAGAAGGCGCTGGTCGGGGGTAAGGGGGAGGAGGGGGTGTTGCAGAAGCTGGGGTTTGGGAAGGAGCAGATTCATCGGTTCTAGGGGTGTCTGTATTGTGTGTTTTTCTTGGGAAAGGTTGTCCAGTGAATGACTGAGAACAAGTGTCAGGAATTGGTTGCGATGTGGACTGTGAGTAATGCTGCATACACTCCGGCGTATGTGCAATATGTGGGAGAATGGTGGTTGGTGTCTTTGCACATATAGGGTACAAACAATGCTAGTATCAGGGAAGCGTGCCCTATGGCTTGGCCGGATAGCTCTTCCTCGGTTTCACTGTCAGACTGAAAGCACCCGGGGTTAAGGATGCTTGAAGCGTACTTGTAGTTGTACACCAGTGCGTTGCCTATACTCTCGCCAACCCGTGAGACGAAGAGTTACCGGCAACCCCCCGAAACAAGTCATGCCGTCATCGTCCCGGGAACAGCGGGACCGGCACCCCCACCCCCACTTCAGCCCTATGAACTCACATCCCCAGTACACATAAAATAGCGTAGCTTCTGACGTAGTGGTAGTGTGCCAAACCCATAGCTTATCCCCTTTACATCGTACGTAGTCCAAAACTACTCCATCTATCCCACAACAAGATTCCAACGACAACAAGCCAACTACACCAAGATGACCACCAACCCCCTCGCCTACCGCACCGCCCAAGCCATCGGCTTCACCGGCGCCGCCTGGCTATCCGGTGTGTGTACCCCCTCCAAGAATCAACCCAGCCCAGTCCCCAAACTAACGAATCCCACGAAGGAAACATCGCCTCTCAAAGCCTCATCACCATTCCCGCCCTCCTAGCCATTGACCCCGACCCCGACCCCGACCCTACCCCCACAGACCATCCAAACCACATGACAGCAACACTCACAACCCTCCAAATCTGGAAAAGAATCTACACCGCCAGCAGCACCCAGAACCCGCCGGTCGCCGCGGGCACCGCCGCCGCGTTCGTCTACCTCGCCTGGACGGTCGCGCGCGCCGTCGAGCCGCCGCTGCTGCTGCAGGTTCTGAGTAGCAGTAGTCGCATCAGTGGCTATGCCGGTCCGGGTTGGTGGTATGCGGCGGCGGCGGTGTTGACGGTGGGGGTTGTGCCGTACACGGCGGTGGTGATGCGCGGGACGAATTGTAAGCTTGTGCGGTTGGCGGAGGGAGAGGAGGAATTCGGGGAGCAAGGGCGGGAGCGGGAGCGGGAGAAGGGGGCGGAGGCGGAGGCGGAGGCGGAGAGCACCAGCGGGTTGCTGAAGCGGTGGGCGGTGCTGAACGCGGTGCGGAGTCTGTTGCCGCTTGTTGGCGGGTTGTGCGGGTTTGCGGCGGCGGTGATTTGATTTTACTGTACAGTACTTGGTGGGTGTAGATGGCGTTGGTGTTGCGAGGATATTTTAGTCGTGGTTCATGGATCTCTAGGCAAGCATATTCGATTGTGGACTGATAGAATGCAAAAAGCCAGCTTCTATTTCGTCTGAGTTAAGCACGAGCAAGAAACACCCATCCCTCGCACACAACGACAGAACGGTGTCCTCCATATAAGCAGCCGCGCACAAAGAGTCGAAGGAGACAGCAACAATTAGCAACAAATCCCACATTAGCAGGTACCACCAAACAACACACGCAATTCTAACCAACCCTACTTCTTACCCACCCGCGCAGACCGTCCAGCGCCCTTCTCCCCACCCGCGTCAACCCGAATAATCCTCCCAACCGATTCACCAAACCTCAACGCGGTGTGATCTTCCCCCTTCCGAAGCCTACTCACCACGTGTGGACACGTCGAAAAGTGCTGTGGGAGATCCGGGACCCGAAATGCGCGATCCACCCCCTTGCTCCCTGGGGACCTAGTGTTCCAGGCATAGTGCTTCTGCCGGTTTCTCGGATTGCGCCTGCTCTTGCCCCGGGATATCTCCCAGTACTTCGTGCACCCGTAACAGTACACCCCCGGCTCGGCGATGCGGGCGTGCGGGTCCCAGCACGGAAACGCCACGGTCGACCGCAGCCGCCTCTGGTACGTGTCCTGCAGCCGATAAGACCATTCTTGTGCTGCGGGTTCTTCGCGACTACTGCCTGATTGCTGCTGCTGCTGCTGCTGCTGATACATGAGTCTAGCTTGCGCCACGTCAATCAGCATTTCTGAGATGTATTGGCCTTCGAGAAGATCAAGACAACAGACGACCGGAAGATCCCACCAGTCCCCCCGAGAATACGGGAAACAGGCAAACACCACATCGAGGGCTGCGACGCGGTATCGATCGTGTCTCAATACGCACTGCAAACATACCCGCGAGAGAGTGGGGATATAGAGATAGGGGCCGAAGTCGGGGCAGGTTCGGCACCGGGGGTGGCAGAATTCGCGATACAGTTGGTGGGCAGGGAAACAATGGGTGCATTGGGCAATATCAAGGATCTTGAGGGTCTCTGCTGCATGGGCTCGGAGCATACGGTATTCGTAAAGAGAGTCGACCTGCCGGCGAATGATGGAGTCGACTAAACGTAGGGTGCCCAGTGTAATCATATCAAGGTGGAGGAAGATCATGTGCACTATCTCTAGCGGTAGTGAGGGCCATAGCGGCCGGGAGGGTGGAGGGTGCCAACAAGATGGCTGGCGACGCGGTTGTCGCTCCTGATATTGGGTTCGGTAGAGCCTTATAATTTCGTTAAGACGAGCGCGTGACATGGAAGAGTGGGGGTGAAGAAGATTCTCCCCAGGTCGGTCAAAACGGTACGCTAATCCGGAGGCCATGATTTGATCCGATTAGTTGCGGTTGTTATAAGTAGTTGCATTTCGCAATTCGTGGTTTTTTGTGGTGGATGTTGGAATGATATTATAGTGAGATCATGCGAAAAGAATTCCGGAACCACTGGCTGATGCCATCCTCTTCTTCACATCTCTCTTCATGAGTTCTGGACGAGCGACCACAACATAGTCGGTTTACCTCATCGCCAGACTCTGTCATTGTGAGGTTGCTGCAGAGATTGAGATGGGGAATGGGAACGTTGGGATGGGAACCTCGAAGATATTGAGTGCAACTGAGAAAAAGCTGACTCAGAGGGATTGGCCAATGGAATTGCCTAGGTACCTAGTACTTATAGTACTACAACGCCTTCCACCACTGACAGTGCAAATGCTCTCCGTGGATCTGGCCGTTGTACTCAATCGAGTCACCTTACATTGCATCTTTCACTATGGACCAAGAAGAGTGGAGTCGATCAAGATCGTTGTGGGGGGAAAAAAGCCATCCAGGGTTCAATATCGTTAGTGGGTGGGCCTCGGTGGCCAGTTAACTTGAGATCTGATCAATCGCATACTTCATCAAAAGATGTGAATCTGTCAAAAGTACAACAGACAGCCTGGTAGGAAGTGACAGGTTCTCAGCGCCTGACGAACGAACGAACGAACCAATAAGACTAGGAACCCTAAGCAAGCAAAAAGGCAAACTACACCAACTAACCAAAGAACAAAAGAACATACCACAAACTCTACGACGCAAACAATGCACATATTATAGATTCAAAACTCCCTCAGGAGCAGCATTGCATCAAAATCCATCTCAACTCACCTCCACCCCCACCCAAACCAAGAAATCTCAGCTCTACCTCTCACTATAAGGCGGCGGCGGCGTCCTCTCCCTCTCCCCCTCCCCCTCCCGATCCCGATCCCGATCCCGATCCCCAGCCTGCAACGCACCCACGCGCCACCTAAGCGAGTTAGCAGTCAACTGCCTGGCGCGGGCAACCGCGCGGTCAAACGCACCGGGCTCATTGAGCTGGTCGTAGATCCAGCCCTGGGCGGTGTTCCTCGTGAGGGCGACGCCGATGACGCGGCCGCAGAAGGTGGAGATGGAGAGCCAGGAGCCGACGTTGGGCATGTCGGTGGTCAGGATGGGGGCGGCCATGACCTGGCGGGCGAGGTCGAAGTCGAAGGGCCGGACGGCGGTGGTGGTCAAGCGGGCCTGATTGTAGAGCACGCGCAGGAGGAGGACCTTGTCGATGCCACGGATGTCGACCTCGCTGAGGTCGGTGTTGTCAGAGGCGGCGCGGGGGAGGCCATGGAAGGTTGAGCAGTGGTGCTCCATGGTGAACTAACTATTAGGGTTGCCAGCTGTTGAAATACTGCTGGTAAAGCCGGGTTATGATATCCAGTACACTCACCGAATGAAGATCTACTCTATATATAGGCAGTGGTGTCAACACCATCCCCAATTGCAACCCTCAAGCCGATTTCTATACCACATCTCACCAAAACCCCCCCGATTATAACAAAGACAATGACTTCCACAGTCTCATTCATGCCAGATTCAGCCGCTGATCCCCAGCTCACCACAATTAACTCCTCCCACAAAGATAACCCCATACAAAGGACCCCGACTCCCTAATTGAAACTCTCCAGCCATAAATTCCATCCCCAATCCTATAAAGAATACCTCTCCTACAGGAAGAATCAACCCTAACCACCCCCACTCCACCTCCAACCCAACCCACACCACTAACCAAAACCATGCCCCCCAAAGCCCTAGGCCTCCTAGCCGTCCCCAGCCGCCGCACCCACCCCAGACGACCCCCCTCCACTTTCACCTACGACCCAGGCGACGCCATAACCCTCGCCTGGCTGCAACGCCTAACAACCCACCTCGAAGCAAACGACATCCCCGTCTCCCTCCTCAACCGGGCCCTCTTCCGCACCCTAAACTGGCAAGACAACCTCTTCCTGGACCCGTGCATCGACCTCAACATCCCCAGCCACCACATGGGTGGGGCGATCACTGTGCTGCAAGCCGCCGGACTGGACGACACGCCGCGGTCCGTGGCCGAGACGCTGGCCTGCATGCACTACTGGCCCTCGGGCCCCAGCAAACGCTTCCCCGCGGACCGGGACTGCCGCGTCCAGGACGCGTGGTGGGCGCCGGCGCACGTCTTCTTCGTGCAGCGGGGGCCTTACATCCCGGCCCTCCACCATCGGCTCTGGAGTCTGGGCCCGGAGGGGGATTCGCCCGACAGTGTCGAGAACCCCACACAAGAGGTGATGGTGCGGTTGTTCGCGCACGAGCAGTATTTCTGGCATATGCCGTGTCCGAGTTTTCGACACCACCCCAGGGAGGATGGGGATTGGGAGTGTTATACTATGGTTCGTGTCGAGGAAGATATCAAGGCGGGAGGGGATCGGGACCTGCCCAAGATGGTCCGCGTTATGAAGCCGGCGCAGTACCTTGAGGGGATGCTGCTGCTACACTGGCGCGATCGGCGCTCGACGAATGATACCAAGGGCACCTCCTGGGAGCTGACCTACGACATGCTCTGTGATCTGGTCCGGCGCACCAAGCCCGCCTGTCTGCGGATCCGGGCGTTTCGGCCGGAGATGCGCAAGCTGCTGCAGGACGAGCTCCACGCGCCCGACAGCAAGACCGACCGCGAGTACAACTGGCTGTTCCTGCAGAGACGTATCAAGCGCGCGCAGCTGACGTACCAGAAGTTGAAGGGCACCCCCATGATGCCCCTGTCCCCGTTCCCGATCCCGCCCAGCGGGTTGCCCGAGTCGCTGCACAAGACGTACGTGGCCATTATGAATGGGTATGAGCTGTATGATCCCAATTTGCCGTGGGTGGATCGGCGATTCGGTGTATTCCGCCTGGATGAAGACGGCAACAGAATTGAGGGTGTGTATGTCGGGGATGATGAGGAGACCGATTCGGACTCCGAAGAAGACCCTAGCGTTGAGGGCTATGATTATGCGATTGAAGTGTATAACCCCAGCGAGGAAGAATCGTAGATTCTCGTAGCATCATGGTGATTTGGGCGTAGGGGAAACTATGGTTTCCTACTTTCCATTGTAGGTTCGTAGAACTATCGAACAAATGATTATTGATCTATATTGAAAAGGTTCCTTTGCAAAAGTTCCGTACTCCTCTATAAGCGCTAACAACCACACAACCAAAGCAAACACGGTTGAGTCGCTCAAGTTCTAAACTAAAGAGTAAGGAGAATCACATCAAGAATCCCATCTTCTTCCAACTTTGAAGATACCGTCTCACTACCTCAGCATCCACAGGCCCCATCCTGGCTAGCGTGGCTGAATGCTCACGACACCGCACGGTCTCTAACCTTAGTCCCCCGCACGACATGCGACAAAAGTGCTCCTCCAGAAAGTCGACCATCAAAGAGGCAGGATTCTCCTCTCCCGGTCCGGCGAATATTCGGACTCGATGGATCCATTCTTTGAAGGGCACGGTGGTGATGACTCCATTCTTGGCGCTCAAGTTTTGGCCCTCCTTCAGGCGAGATGTTGCCGGGTCGAACCGCAGGCCCTTAGCCAGCAAGGGGATCATATCTTCCCATGATTGCCCAATAGGATTTTCAATGTGATAAACCGGATACCTCTTTGCCATCTCCGACCCTTCACCAGAAAGGAGTAGGTCCCCCAACGTAGCCGCCACGCCCTCAACAGGCGTCCACGAAACAGTTCCTTTCAAGTCCGGGAGACACCCGAGCGTCTGTGAAGACTTAAGCAAAAAAGGCAGATGCTCCTGTGGATTCCAGTATCCACTGACCCGTGACCCTGCTACTTGCCCTAAGCGAACGGCCATAGGCTGGAACATGTCCGGGTAGCGGTGAAGGGTTTCATCCAGCATGCGCTCGCAGACGAACTTGGCGAGACCGTACCCATTGGTCAAAACAGATTGTAGGGGGAGTCGCGATTCAGGTACGTTGGGGTTACCGGTGTGAACGGGATAATGGCCGACGGTGGCTATCGAGGAGATCAACTGAAAGTGGACCTTGGAACCACTGTAGGCGTAGCTAGCAAAGTCAAGAAGATTGCGCATGACCTGGAACTGCGGCACAAAACCTTCAAGAGGCCGTTTGCCGCTCATGGGCCAGGCATTGTGGATGATGTGCGTGGTTTTTGCAGCGAGCTGAGCGTACTCCGCTTGGGCAAGACCAAGGAAGGGTTTGGTTGTATCCGTCTCGAGGATCTGAAGTTTTGAAAGCGCCTGGGCACCCATTATGATCCCCCGTGTGGATAGGGCTTCTTGCTGGCGCTCTGATGGTGTCTTGCTGCTGCGGGCAGGGCGATTAAGGCAAATCACAGTAGCAACGCTGGGTTGATGTGCGAGATGGCTAACCAGCTGACAGCCTAGACTCCCGGTGGCCCCAGTCACAAGTATCACGGCCCCAGACGAAGGTTTCTTTATTGATGCCTTGGGAGCTTTAGCGCTGAATCCCTGAGTATATCGCCGAATGTAATCATCCACTACTGCCTGTCGAGTCACCAAGTCGGCGTCAGCAGGTGGGATTGGAGATTGCGGCAAGGAACAATGGCGGCGTTCATACCTCGGCCCTTGTGAAGCCATTGCGACCATGATGCGCTCGATCCCGACCTCGGGGCATCTTCCGTCCGTCCAGTTTACCTGGCCATATCCCGCAGCGTGGAGAGCAGTCTCCCATCGTACAGGATCGGCTACCGCGTGGCGCCGACCGTCATCAAACAGCCACCATCCTTCCAACAAACCAAAGATCATATCGATCCAAACAAGAGGTTGTGTCATCTCCAGCATCATAAGAAAGCCATCGAGCCGCAGGGCCTTCCGAATGTTCTTGGTCGACTCCGTCAAGCTGCGAGTAGCATGAACAGCGTTGCTCGCGATGATGATGTGTTGACTGTTTAGCAGATCATCGGCGGGAGCTTTCTCAATATCATGAACCCGGTATTTCATGAACGAATATTGCTTGAATTCCCTGCGAGCGCTGGCAAGAAACATTGGCGAGATGTCGGTAAAAGTATATTCAACTGGAATATTCAGACGGGCCAAAGCCGGCACAATCTGCTTGGTGGTGCCTCCCGTTCCTGCACCCATCTCCATGATTCTCAAGGGTCCGTCACTGGAGGGAAGTCTTCCTATCAGCCGCCGAAGATAATCATCCATCATTTTGTAGTGCAGTTTGTTAAACAAAAAGTCCCCGTAGAGACTAGACACTAATTGGCGACCTTCTTCGTTACCAAAGATCAGTCGAAGACCATCCGCCTGGCCGCTGAGCACATCGGCCAGTCTCCTGCCTGTAAAATAGGCTAGCTGGTGGGCCTTGGTGTGATCAGGATAATCTTTAATCAGTCTGTTCAAAATACTCCCACTGGACTCGACAGGGGCGGGTGCGTGAGTTCGAATGATGGTATTGCCTTCGACTTCGACCAATTTACCCTCGTTCTGCAGAACCTGGTAGATGTACTCAACCAGACGTTCATGCTTGGGTAGGTATTCAATTCGTGGCAAGACCTGACCATGAGCGGCAGCACGTAAAGGACACCCAAGCTGTTCGAAAGCCTCAACTATCAAGGCAACACACATCTGCACCAGTGCAGGGTTGATAGTCTGCATGTAATTGAGGCCATTGAATTCAGCAATGTATTCGTCCGTAAGACCTTTGATCTCGGTGAAAGCGTCCATGACAGCTTCGGACGGCAACCGGAGGTCTCGATCCGGAAAATAGGACTTTGCAGTCTCTGGCGCTGGAGTAGGGCTTGCGGGCTCGCTAGGGGTAGAAAACCCCGGAGTCGTGGGTAGTGACTTGTTCATCTTGCGCTCAATGTCTGCAACCGTAAGCTCCTGTAGGAACTGTCCATGGGGGAAGTGTAAGCCGAATTTACACTCCAAGTCAGCGGACAGCTCCATGGAGAGAAGCGAGTCGACTCCAAGTTCTCCCAGTGGAACTTCATTTCGGATGTCGTGCTCAGCTACCCCAAGAAACTCGGCAAGGAACGCTCCAAATCCACCGGCTATCGAAACATCCAGGTCGCTGGATACAGTAGTTGCAGAGTCAGAAAACACGTCGCTAACCGACTCCGCCGACGATGATTGATCATCCTCAGAAGAAATGGCTGTAACAGTGCCACAGATGTAGTCAATTAGGCTACGCACAGTTGTGAGATCCGCCAGGTCATACATTGGAATCGAACAGTGAAACTTTTGCTCCAGATCCTGACCCATCTCCATGCTCATAAGTGAGTCGATGCCGATGTCGCAGAGCTGGATGCTGTCTTTGATCTCGACCACATCGAGACCAGACAGTTCTGCCAGTACGGCCTTGACGCCTCTTGATACATCAATATCTGAGGAGGGGAGACTGACTGACATTTGAGGCTTCGGTGCCGTACTGATTTTCGCTGAGATTGCTGGACTGACAGTGTCGATGTCGGAAGTCACCGGGAGAGCCATTTCTAACGGTGTGGGGGTTCTGGTTGCCAAACCAGGTGTCAATCTAGTCAAAATCCGGCTCATTGCTTGTTTCGAGACCTTAGTGTACTTGATGCCCAGCATAATCTCGGCCAGCTCACCCGTGACGGAGTCGAAGGCGAAGACATCAGTCATAAACGCCTTCTCGTCCTCAAGGTGATGATGGCGGGCGATGACATCCCATGCTTCGACCTGGCCATACCTGGATCCCATCTTAGGAGATCTAAGCCAGTGTTCCAGTCCATTTGCGATATACATCTCGCTAGACTGCAAGTCTGTCATGCAATTCACCCAGATTCCACCCACCTGCGCGAAGCAATCCGAAAGATGCATATCGAGCCAGCTCTCTCCGGCATGCTTTCTGAGCACACGGCCAGCAGATTCGTTGCCCTTGCCGACCAGCTTCTGGAGGCCTTGATACTCAATACCGTAATCCACAACTTCAGAGAACGCCCGGTAAATATTCCGTCCTTGGATAATGTCGTCCGCATCGGATGAATTGAGAATCTGTAGACAGCGCTGATGGTTACCAATGAGGCGTCCATATCGAGAGAACTCGGCATGGGCGTCAGGGCTTTCAGTCAAGCCAAATGTGATTTCTCCTGAAACGTGCACAGTGTTTGCGGAGCCGGATCCGCCCGAGCTTGCCAGGCAGAATTCCCAAGCGGTACCACGGGAATTTCTCTCGCTTTCTTTCAGGTCAAGCCACACTGTTCTGGAAGGATCGTCGCACAACGGAGATTTGCTCTGAATGTTGTGGACTCGAGGAATATGCTTCGGGTCTCGGAGAGCCTGCAAGCTCCCCAGGGCCTCAATAGCCATATCGATTTCCAGCGTCATAGGACAAATGGGGGCTGTCTGTGCGATTGTGTGACCCTGAAGATGGTCCCGAAATATTTGAGTTGCGGTGTTGATCCGGAATCGAGCCACATGCTGCTTGGGATCCTGGTATCCAATGAACGTGTAAAGACACTCGGGAACAGGTTCGTCTGGAATTTGCTCAGGTATGCTGGACACCTTCTCTTGCGGTATCTTCACGTTCAGCCAGTGTTTGCTTCGTTCGAACTGGTAAACTGGCATTAGTATAGGGCCATACTCATAGGTCTGTGATCTGTGATGCGGCCAGTAGATAATATTCATGCCCTCTTTCCAAAGACAGGTGGTCGTATCAGTGAGGGCGGTCAGGCCTTGAGCCCCATTGGTAATATTCACGGCTTGAAAGTGAGACTCGGCTGGCGCCCCCAAGGCCCGACGTGCCATACCTGCGATGGTCGAGTTAGAGCCTGCCTCCAGGAATACGGCTGAGGGGTATTTCTTTGCCAATCGCTGGATTGCATGGGCGAAATAGACAGGATTGCGCATATGATGTGCGAAGAAGCTGGATGTAAGAGGCTCGTTAGCCGTCTCGGTTGCCCTTTCGATCGGGATTGAGGCTTGTGAGAAGGTGACGCTTTGCCCGAGCTTTCTCAGTTCCTCCAAAAGAGGCTCTTCAACAAGCGTAGAATGGAACGCGTGAGTGACATTCAGTCTCCGTGTGCGCATTGAGGCGAAGTCTGGGTGTCCAGACAAGGTTTCGAAAACTGCATCAATGGCCTTGCTTGATCCTGCCAGAGTGAAGCTCTGGGGCCCATTATAGCAAGCAATTGTGGCAGCATTCTCAACTGGGGTGAGCTGATGCGCCGCAGCCAGCAATCTTTCAACCGAGTTCAGGTCGCCATCGATGGCCATCATTGCCCCGGGCTCCTGGCCCCATAGCTTTTGCAGAAGTTCAGCTCGTGTCGCAATGACACGAAGAGCATCCTCGAACTTCAAGGCGCCGGAAACACATAACGCTGTCAGTTCACCAAAGCTGTGACCCACGACAGCTGCAACTTTCACTCCACAATCTATCCAAGTTCGGGCAATAGAATATTGCAGTGCAAACAGCATTGTTTGGAGTTTTATCGCATTTTCCACCGGCGAGGTCTGGAAGATCTCAGGATACAGACCCTCATAGCCCATACCTTGAAGAATGGAGTCGCAATGATTGAGGTGATCCCGCAGAACACGGACACCATCGAAGACATTCTGGTCTAATCCAATGAATCTTGAGATCTGACCACCAAAACAGAGAATGATCGGTCTTGTTGGGTTCGCTTTAGCGGTATTGGAAAGGTCCCTGTTGGTTCCTTCTATGTAAGCTGTCAGACTACCTTCCAAATCGGAGATCGAGTGTGCGCTGAATATAGCATTGGTGGGAAGATTGTGATTGGATTGGCGGCTGGCATTGAAAGACAGATTTGCCAGGGTAATATTTCTTGCTGAAACTGCTTTGGACCGAATTAGACCTCTCAGCTTGGTGACGTACTCCAGCAAACTCCGCTCATCGAGCGCATTCAATCTGAAAGGATGTTTAAGTCCTTCCGCATGAATTGCTGTCAATCCAGCTCCGTCATGCTGTCGAGGCTGAGTGACGACCAAGGAAGCGTTCGAGCCCGAAGCGCCGTAATTGTTGATCAGGGCCGCACGGTGCTTCACATTCCACTCTTTCATGGAAGTTGCTACCTCAAGCATATCAGAAGTCGAGGCCTTGAGATGAGGACTGAGAGATTGAAAGCTAGCCTGGGGCGGGATCTTCTGCTCTTGAATCATCAAGAGGACCTTGATCAATGCAACCGCTCCGGAGGCACTCTCTGTGTGTCCGACCAACCCCTTGACGGAGCCAATAGTCATGGGAGTTTGTCGATTCTTCAATCTACCAAACACATCCAAGATACTGCTATACTCCGCAGGATCTCCGACAGCAGTACCGGTGCCATGTGCCTCGACTAAGGAGATCTGCTGCGGGTTCAGCCCGGCTTTCTGTGTGACGTGTGCGAACAGGCTCGAAAGTGATGGGGAGTTGGGCACGAAAATAGGGGTGCAGTTCAGGTTCTGATATACCGCCGTTCCAGAAATACATCCCAGAATCACGTCTCCATCGCTGACCGCTTGCGACATTTTCTTCAAAAACACCACAGCTGCAGCCTCACCGCGACAGTAGCCGTCTGCGCTCGCGTCAAAAGGCTTACACGCGCCCGTTGGACTGAGGAAAGAGGCACCAGCTAAATTCTGAAACCATAGTCCATTGGTCATAACATTCACGCCGCCAGCGAGGGCGGCCGTACATTCACCTGCCAAGATGGCCTGACAAGCCATATGCACTGAGACTGCCGCGGTGGAACACCCAGAGTCAAGCGTCATGGATGGGCCGGTCCAGCCGAAATAATGACTGATCTTACCGGCGATAAAGCTCCGAAGATTTCCCGTTGTCGTGAAGGCGTTCGGTTCATGACAGGCGACATTCGTCTCGTAATCGGAATTGCAGACCCCCAAATAACATCCCACGTGCTGATCGACATCATGTAAGCTGAAATATCCGGACTGCTGCACTGCCTGATAAGCAACCTCCATCATCAGGCGCTGCTGCGGGTCTTGCGATGCCACCTCTCTGGGGCTCTTTTTGAAGAATTTGTGATCGAAGGCGTCAGAGTCGTTGAGGAAGTTGCCGTACCACCGCCGATTTGGGTCAACTTTGCGCCAGTGGGATTCGAAGGGAATCTTGTCGAGGGGCACCTCTCGGTGTTGGGATTCAGCGGTACAGAGCAGGTTCCAGAATTCCTCTGGGTCGTCTGCTCCTGCTACTTTGAGAGAGTAGCCGACGACAGCGATATCATTGTTCGAAATTGAGGCAGAAGACGCCATGATTGCTCTCTCAGTTTCAGCGCGTCTCTGCTTAATAGGGTCGTAAGAGATATAAGGGTCGTCTAGTGCCGGAGACGGATAGTTTGAACAAATGGTATATGGCAGGCTTGAAGAGCAAATGAGGCATGCGTGGTCTAGCGAGATAAAGAAAAAGCGCGTCTAATCTATTGCGCAAACACAAGCTGTGAAAGTGTATGATCGAGATAAAAAGCTTCTGTCGCCCTATTGTGCAAGGAAGTTGTTATGAGATGGTCTTTGACTCCAGATTCAAGATTGGTGAAAGGTTTCGCACCTTATATATCGCTTACCGGTAGAAGCCTCTCTCTCATCTTCAGAAACACCGCACTTGCCGGTGCGATCCAAAACCACCCGATACCATGCGGTAGAGCATGGTATCAACTCCTTCTAACCATGCTATTCCAAGGTTTGCTGATTCCAAGCCGTGGCCCCAACGCCTGCATGGGCCAAGTGCTGTAGGTAAGCTCCTTCGCGAGGTGAGTGCTGACAGCGAGTGCCATATGATGTGTCCATCATGGACAGACTAGACCGTTGAAAATAGAATCCTTCAGAGGTATGTGTATCAGCCCTGCTTGGAAGTACGTAAGCCGCGCTCTTCTGGCATTGTCGAATAGTCGCTGCGGTGGAGATAAGTTCCGGGATGATGATCCTCGGATTTACCGATTCGAGCGGCCCATGGGCTATGAGCAATGGTGCCTAGACCAGACCTGTTGCAGTGAAACATTACTGTAGTGTAACTTGAAGATGACATGCATGAAAGACACGTTTTATGCAGCGAAACTTTAAGGAAGAAGCGAAGGGGAGAAACTCCGAGGCGAGGCGAGGCGAGGTGAAGACAAAAACACCGAGCCGAGGGAGGCACGTGCCCTCCTCGAGCAATGAGGCTCCTCGTCTGCATCGGGCCTAGTTTCAACTTAGTACCAGCTATACTTCAGCATAATTTCTCAATCAGAAACATAATTGCTTCATGATCCTTAGACTCAGGAGAACCCCTGTCCAAGACTCTAGCGTCTAATCCCCTTCACCGCTACCCGACCTAGCCGAATCCAAGTGTTAAGGAGCGAGGTCGGATCGGAGATGCTGCAAGTCCGAATCTACTGATTACAAACAAGAAAGAAAGTGACTGATATAGAGTTTCAATTATCCAAATTAGCAGCATTCCAATCTAGGTACAAGCGAATTAAAAGCAAACAATGTAGTCAGGTTCGAAAACAATCGACAAACGAAGCCCCCAATCTATGCCCGGGATTAGAAAAACAAGGTACATGCAAGTCGTAATTCTCCGTAGCCGCCTCCTGTCGTGGGGAGTATCTATTTGGCAATCAATTCGCTCTTTTCCGCCAGCAGGGCGCCGAACTCCGCCAGAGACGGGGTTTGGAGGATGTCGAAGATAGACACCCTGGCCCTGAGGCTCGTAGCCAGGTAGTTGCGCAGGTCGACTGCGACCAGAGAGTCAACACCGTATTTGGACAGCGACAGACTCGGGTCGATGACTTCCTGCTCGATGTTGAAGATAGAGGCCGTCTTGCCGGCAACCACATCCACAATCAGCTTGACAGCGTCGGCCTTGGACACGGGGCCAGCAGCCAGGGCGCGGTTGAGGACGGAGAGGCTGTCGGCAGAGTCAGAGCCCTCGGCAGCGTCGGAGGAAGCTCCGCGTGGGGTAGACAGGCGAAGGGTGCCAAAGCGGCGGTCGAGACGAGTCACAGAGTCTTCCGGGATAGCATCATCCCGGGCGAGACCCACGACGACCTGGCTGTCGGCGGGGCTGGTGGGGCGAGGCTCCCGAATGGACTTCTCGAGCAACTCAAGGACAAAGTCAACATCGGCAGAGACTGCACCCAGGTGCTCCACACGCTTGAGCACCTCCTGCTCACCCTCAGCTCCTTGCGAGGCAACCCAACCAGCACCCTTGATGGCACTCAAGTTCAGGGCAATAGCGGACTCGCCCTGAAGAGTACGGTGACGTGCCAGGGCATCCTGGAAGGTGTTACCCGCAGTGTAGTTGGACTGGGAAGTGTGGCCAGCCACACCAGTGACCGAAGAGAGGAAGATGAAGAAGTCAAGGTTGGGCAAGTGGGTGTTAAGGTTGATGCTGCTGTCAACCTTGGCCCGAATACCTTTCTGCCATTGGTCATAGGTCATACGCTCGAGCACAGTATCCTAGATAGTGTTAGCAAGTTATGAATCCAAGTATGATGAGGAGTTATGCTTACCTCAAGAGCCATGGCCGCGTTGATCACACCACGAACAGGGGGGAGAACATCAGCAGTGTCCTTCAGCAACTTCACCAAGGCCTGCTCATCAGAGACGTCGCAGGAGCGAATTTGAAGGTTGCAACCGTCAGCCTTGGCCGCGGCCTGCATGTCGGGCACCTCAGAGCTGGCCTCTGCCTTGCGGGAAACAACGAGCAAGTTCTTAGCTCCGTTCTCCATGAGCCAAGACACAATGGACCGGCCAATACCACCCATACCACCAACAATCAGGTAGGTCGAGTCAGACTTGTCGAGGGAAACGGGGGTAACATCGGAGGCTTCTTGGACATCCAGGTCGGGGTAGGCTCTGGAGATGTGGAGGGTCGAGTCCTTGACCGAGTACTCGCACTCGCGGTCGGCAGCAGTGAGGCTGGAATCGAAGCTCTGCTCAAAGACGTCCACAATGTGGCCAATCTTGTCGTTGGTCCAAGGGATCAGGTCAGTGGCAGCAGTGAAGTCAAGCTGGATCAGACGCTTGCCAGCATCCTCCTGGCGCACAGTACGGAGGAGACCCTGGGTCTGGCCGTAGACGGGGATTTCAGAGTCGATCGCACCACCAGCGCTCAGCCAAAGGAGGTTCTGGCTGTTGACCAGAAGCCTCTGCAGCTTGCCAAAGTCGGCCTCTCCAATGTGGTGGACGAAAGGCTTCTCCAATTCAGCAGTGAAAATGATGGCCTTGTCCTCGAATGCCTCGAGCTCATCCAAGTTCTCAGTAATAGGAGTAACACCAGTGCGATCCTGGATAGCAGTGCTGAGCTCCTCAACCCACTCAGCGGGAGGGGTGACAGTGGCAGGGTGGACAATGGAGATGGTGGCAGGGTAGGAGGACTTCGTGGATTTGGCGGTGGTCAAGATCAGGCTGAGAGTCTGAAGGTTGGGCTCCTCGGAATCGGCAACCTCGAGATCAACTCCCGAGAAGCCTGCATCGCGCAAAGTAGCATCCCAGGATTCGACCGACTTGGACTCCTTGAAGCTGGGCAGGGTAGCGAAGACGAGCTGCGAGTCGGCACGGTCCTTGGTGGTTTCAATGAGGATCAGCTTACCACCAGGAGCCAGGAGCTTCTGAACGTTGGAAAGGGCGGTCTGCACGGACTCGGTGCCCTGGAAGGCTTGGGAGGCAATAATAAGGTCATATCCACGTTCAAAGGACTGCTCGAGGGGGTTCTTCTCGATGTCGAGAGCCTTGAAGTCGATCAGGTCAGACCAAGAAGCAAGCTTCTGGCTAGCAGCCTGGAGCGAGTCGGATGAGGCAGCAGTAAAGGTGTAGTGGCCCAGGAGAGACCGGGTACCGTCAGAGGCGCGGGCAGCAAAGGCCTGCAGAACAGTTTCAGTAGCAGCAGCTCCCAGACCAGCGCCGAGACCCAAGACCTTGGCACCAGGGCGCTTCACAGCGAACAGCTCAATGATCTGAGCGAGTTGTGCGCCAGTTCTCTCCTTTAGCTTGGGGTAGTCAGCCAGGTATTCCTGCACCAGGTCACCTTCCTTGGCCAGGCTTTGAGGTGCAACCTCGCCACGGATGATGCTCGCAAGCTGCTGTCCGATACGGACAGTGAGAGAAGCGGAAGCGTTCTTGCTGGCGATCAGCTCATCCACAAGCATCTGCTTCATACCCTTGCTGGTGCGTGCCCAGGTCTTGCTGCGAGGGGCGAGCTTTCCAGTCTCTCCGAGCTTCACAACCTCCTTCAGCCACTCGTAGAGGCGCTGGATGTGGGCCTCCCACTTCTCCGAAGTCTTGTTGTAGCCGGTCTTCTCGATTTCACGAACGGCATCGGCAATGTGGAGGTAGGTGGCACGCAGTAGCTTGTTCTCGAACTCTGCCTGTTGGTCAGTGGGCGTGATACGGAGAGAGTCCGCGAAAGCAGCAGCCGGCTTGGAAGTGAAGATGTCGAGCTCCCACTGCAGCTTGGAAGTCATCGGGAGGTTGGCATCGGGGTTCTCAGCACCACGAGGAACAGCCTGGGCAAAGAACTCGTCCAGCTCAAAGACTGGCAGCGAGCGCTCATCATCCTGGTTGATGACGGCAATGTTGGAGCTGAATCCTCGGCTGTCCGCGCTCAGGTTCTCAGTGAACGCCTGGAGCTTCTCGCCGCTGTGGCGATTGAGACCGCTGCGGATAGTCAACTTGCGCATGGACCGAGGAACGACCATGGAGGACTGCAGGAGCTTCTTGGGCAGGTTGGTGTACGCCGCCACCACGATGGCGTCGAGAGTGGTGGGGTGGATGACATAGTCATGCGCCTCAGAGACAACAGTGGGGATGGTGAGGTCAGTGATGGCCTTCTTTCTAACGGTCTGGATATCCCCAAGGTTACGGAAGGATGAACCATGGTAAATACCAGACTGGCGCAGGCTAGCGAACAGAGCATCCTCGCTAACCTGAGTGGGCTTGACACCGGGGTGGAAGAAAGACTGGGAGTGAAGAGCGGCTTCTTGCGAGGCCTCCTTCGCGCTTTCATCCTTCTCGGCCTTGACGGAGCCCTTGCAGTTCACGATCCAGGTGCCGGCAGCGGTCAGGGAAGAGAGGAGGAATTCGTACCAGCCAGCCTCCTTGTCGGAGGGACGAAGCTGAAGCTGAGTTTCGACACCCGCAGAGGAGTCCGAGATAGCGAGAGCGTTGGTGATCTCAATGTCACGCAGTTGGAAAGCAGTAATGGTGTCCGCGGGTCCATCAAGAAGACGCGTAGCCTCGATCGCCATGGCAATGTAGCCTGCACCAGGCAGAACGAC